CGATTTCTAGATTTAAAAAGGACCGGACTGGACAAGAGCTAAATAAGGTAGAATGCGGTTCAATTTACCCGATAGTAACGAAATCCTTGTTTGTACCAGAATAAAAAATGTCGACAAGAGTCAACGTTATTCTCGAGTCAAGAACGTCCGACAGAGCGTTAAAAATGTAAACAGAGTTTCGATTTAATCTCGAGCCAAAAAAAAGGTTCTAATTCCACTAGAATATAAAAGTTACACTAAAATTTGAATGCAAATGCTTACATTAGTCAAATTCACACCCATGTCCTATTATCCACAGGAAAGGTACTCACTCTTGAAATAGAGTCTTGTACTTTTTGAGGGTATGTAATCAGTATATTGTGAACGTCGGTAACAGGACAAACGATAAAATATTAGTATTTTATTTGTAATGATTTATTTGTTTATATAATATGCGATTTCTTCTCTTGTGTGGTCTTTTTTTATTATTATAAATCATCATTTCAGTTTGATCATCACCAGTGACTGAAGGACTGCCACAATGTTCTTTCGACTTCTGAACATAACGAACCCTTTATGAACTGTAATCTCAACTATGGCAACGTCTTCATAAACGTCACATAATTTGTTCTGTCTGCTGGTACAGCGTTTTCTCCTTCCAGCAATTTTTTCTCCATTTTCCCTTAAAAAGTAAAAGATTTAAAATGTATGGCTCACACGAGATTTCTATAATGATTTCGCAAGCGTAGCTTAGATGTGGCACAAGGCCTAAACTAGTGGGGGGGAACTCTTTGAGGATTGAACTGACTACTCAGTCCTACTAGTTCTAGTAAGATAAACTTGCTAACCTTTACACCACAAGATGCCCAAACATGGGAATTCTATAGAAAGAGGTGTTGAAAGTTACTTTTCAGAATATGTATATATCACATACATTTCAGTCGCATGTTAAAGGAAAGCCCATGTAAATTGGCACTTGTTTAAAGAGGCTACGGAATAGAATGGTTATTTACTGTGTTATTAATGTTTATAAAAGGTGATTAGTTTTATATCTGAACTGTACAAATGTGGATAAGTAAATCTATTATCTACACAGTGATCTGAATTATTCACTGTTCGCTATTCGATTTGTGCTACATTCAATGGTGGCATCCAATCGCTTCATGTGAACCAATTCTTAAAATTATAAAAGCTTAGCGAACCGGTTGTTGGATTATCGGAAAATAAAGTTACATATTGAATAAATGGTATTTAGTTCTATTAAATCAATTGTTCTGTTTTCGTTGCATTTTTAGTTACTATATATCTGTGTACAGTTAATTATGTGAAGGGCATGTTTATTCATTAGTTGGAAATACAATAAATTAATTTTTTTATGTGCACGTATATTTGTCCTCCCCACATATTAACAGCCGTTAAACAATAGCTAAAAATATAATTAATGTCATTCTGTATATTCTGTGAAATTTGAAAATGTGTTTTCTGTGATGAACATAATTTATTCTGACAAAAGTAGTCTTCTAATCACAAATTTGCTAGGTCTTCCATTGGATCTTTGGGATTGCAGCAATTCAGTTCGAATGTGTCTAAGAAACCCTAACACAGTTGATGACACTAGGGTCAAAAAGCATCATACTTTCTCAACAAAAAACATGATCAGAAGAAAATTTTAATCTGGAAATAGTTTAATGAAAAATGTTTTCTATTAAATTATCAAAATGGTTTCTTTTTGAAACTATAAAGTGATTTGTTTCCATTCTCTGATTAAAAAGAATATAAGCGGAATAGATCCCTAAACATTACCTGTCTTTATATCGCCGGTTCCTGAAAATCTGGGATACCATTATGGGTACATTTTTCGTTAAAGAATTTTATTCCACACTATTTTAAATAAAAGGTTGGAACGGAAAACCTCATCAATATCGGAAAGAGCGATAACAGCTACTGGACATGAGAAACATATTTTCCTGAAAAATTACTTTAAGAAGAAGATTTTATAAATATCTAGCGAATATAATATCAGATATTTGATGAGTTAATAACGAAAGTTTGCTTATGTTGAAACTTGACTAATACATGGAATAATAATGCAACACAAAATGTACTTAGAACAAAATGTATTGAAACAAGAAAGTGTACACAATATTTACATATAGTCTTTTGGTATATTCTTGTGAAGACCGTTCCTGGAGAATGGGTTGACTTAGTCGCAGTCGGGCAGAGTCTCTGGATTGGATCTCTTGATTCCTCTCTACTCCCTTCCCGGTACCAACCATATTTATATGCTCGGTACTCCACTATGCAAATTAGGTGGATCCTACCACAACAGCTTATAAGGAAGCGACTAATAGTACCATTTCTCATTAGTCTTTAATAAAATGTACGTCTTGATAAAAATTATATATATATATATATTATATTTTTATAAGTATTTCCTATAGACTACAAACCACCTTAAATCTAGGCGTAATTTACCATTAAGCTACGATAAGTTATAACAGCAAAGCAAGACTCAATTACCCTATTTAATATTTTGTAATCACATCTTCCATGACGATTTAATGGTTCCTGGTACATTTATCTCACAAATGGTATTTATTGGACTCATGTGCATCCGGGTTAAAACAAGACACAAAAGCACGGATTTTAAACAAACAACTAATGCATGCATTAAGAAAAGAGAGAAATTACATTCATGTGTACACGTTTGAAAGAAAAAGAATAAACAGAAATCACATTTCTTCAGGACTTTCAGCAGCAGCAAGTAGTAAAATGACTTGCACATGTAACTCGAAAATAATGACATAATCAAGATGTTGAAATTTCACACTGCTTCAAATAAAAGGTTAAGAAAGAAACCTTCATTGATAATGGAATGAGCAATAACAGTTACTGGACATGAACATCGATTTTCCTCAAAAATTATCTTAAAGGAACATTTTATAACTTTCAACTGAAAGTAGCACTGGCTGCTCTGTTAATGAATTCTAAATGGTTCTTTTATATTAGCCGTACAATTACCACTATATTATAAGTTTAATGTTCCCCTTTTTTTTTCGTTAATATGCTGCAGATAAAATTCTATAAAAAGATAAACGCTAAAATTTTCTACATAAAGATAAAGTCTTCTTAGATTCTATTATTTTTTCTAGTAACGGGCCCCTTCAATATTTTTCTATCAATTTGTCTGCTCTATTTGAGGCTGTGGTATAATTCTCAGAAGATAACTAACATGCTTTCTTAGTTTAGGCGGTGAAGCATACGAAAAAATATCAGTTCCAACGGATAATTAAAACAACTGAATTCTTTGCGGGGGAAAAAAGGAATTATCGTATTCCTGTAGGGAGATATGTCTCTTGGAAATGGAAAAGAAAATATGTCCCTAGGGGCCAAAATATCTTTAAGCTTACCTCTCGCATGACAAGAATCCCCGGTCTTCTTTAAAGATTATGGTTAACATTGGAGAAGAAAAAGAACAAGAAAAACCAGTTCATTTGTATTCCGTCTAATGTGAGCCAGATTGGAAAGCTAATGTCGACGGTTATGCAAAAGTTTCAAAACAAGAACATGTATACACAGGTTCCTGTTATTCGCTGATAAGAAAACTGATTTTAATGTAAGCTCAGAATTCGAATTTATTTAAATTAAGTATAATTTTATGCATTGTAGTTTTCATTTGCTACTAACTTACCTTTCCCCTGCGCTGGATAATTTTTCCTGGATGTTGATCAACAAAAAATGTAGATCCAGTCCCTCACCGACAGGAATGATAACTCTACGTTGAGTCCCGCTTCTTCTTGGTGTCTTTATGCATAAAGACCGGGCAAGGCATGTTGTCCGTCATCAAAGAGATATAAAGGTGACGATAACAGCGCATTTAGAAATGAAACGGCGAATCCTGTTTCCATTATATTTGGTTACTTGTTCAGCGATTCACTTGCACATTCTGGGAGATACGTACGTGACACGTTAGACAAAACTTGCTATTTCTATCATGACAGACTAACGTATTAAGTTTTCCTTTCAGCTAGCGAGGATTCTGACTGCCTATCACCAACTTCTCTGTCCAGCACTTTGTACTGACACGGTTCGTATCTCACAATCTCTAGCCGATTGTCCATATATCTTTCTCGATATAAATTTCTGTACCCCACTCACACTCAGCTCCTGGACTATTTTCAGTTCTAACTGTGAATGTTTATATAATCATTCAATCAAATGTTTCAAAAGTCCGGCCAGTTGGCACTTTTCCCGAAAGTTTTCGTTTATTTTTATCTTTTGGTGAAAGTCTGCCGTTAAGATCATATTTTACGAACTTTACTGGTGGACTAAAAAAAAAAAACACGAGGCAATTAAGACTCAAATGAATTAATTTATCGTTGATTTCTATATAGGTGTCCTTGTACAATGCTTAAAAAGTTTGGTAGTACCATATTTATACGAAGTTGGAGTTGTGCAGTAACTGATTTTCGATGATATAAATGGTAGATGATTTGCCAGGTTAACTGGTAAAAGCACTTTTGCGTTCATCGTGTATGCATACATTTGCGAGGAATACGGCAAATAAAGAGCTTGCTGCATTGTGCAAAATTGCCGGAGGTAAGAAGATTAACAGAGATAAGAGATTGCAAAGAAGCTTAATATTTGTATGCCTACTGTTTACTGAACACAAAATTCCCTGGCTGAATGGCAGTAACATTGGGTGGAGAAAAATCTCCAAGATAAACGGTAACGTCAGATGCTAAAGACAAAATATCTTGACGGTTTTCGTGTTTAATAAAACAAAATCCTCTTGGAAAAATGCGCCACCACAACAAATAAACCAATGTATAGCCAAGGTACAAATATCTACATTGATAACAATGACATTGTAACAACAATCAGTTGTCCTGCAGGGTCAACATTTTCTGATAATGTTTCCTTGAGAGAATTAAATGGACAATGTAAATTCGTCTAGGATAATTGAAAACGCGTTGAAAGATATACTTTTTAGTTTGCGAAATGAATACACCCAAAATAACTCTTTTAAGACAGAGAGACAGAGTGTGTGTGTGAGAGAGTGAGTGTGACGGATAGAGAGAGAGAGAGAGAGAGAGAGAGAGAGAGAGAGTGGCAGACGGTGGTAGGGAAGGGATATCTCCAAGAAACAATAAAGATATTTTTAAGGAACCAGAAAGAGATGCGAAGGAAAAGGTTCGAAATTTCAAGCAAGCCAAAGTAAAACAGCAGTTCATGGCAACTATGTAGAATTATTATCAGGGGATTTATTAAAAAATACATTAAAATATAGCTGCTCTGTACTAAAGGAATGCATTTTAAAAGATTTAAATATAAGAATGAATTGTACATGATTTAAATATAGGAATAAACTGTAAATGATTTAAATATAGGAAGGCATTGTAAATGATATTACTATAGGAATGCATTGTAAATGATTTTAATATAGGAATAAACTATAAATGATTTAATTATAGGAAGGCATTGTAAATGCGTCTACTATAGTAATGCACTGTAAATGATTTAAATATAGTAATGCATTTTAAATGATTTAACTACAGGAAGGCATTGTAAATGATTTTACTATAGGAATGGATTGTAGATGATTTAACTATAGGAATGCATTGTAAATTATTTTACTATAGGAAGGCATTTTAAATGATTTTACTATAGTAATGCATTGCAAATGATTTTACTATAGTAATGCATTGAAAATGATTTAGCTATAGGAAGGCATTGTAAATGATTTTCTTATAGTAATGCATTGTAAATGATTTAACTATAGGAAGGCATTGTAAATGATTTTACTATAGGAATGCACTGTAAATGATTTTACTATAGGAATGCACTGTAAATGATTTAATATTAGAATGCATTGTAAATGATTTTTTCCATATTAATTACATAAAATTATTTTACGAGAGGAATAAATTGTATGCACTTTTACTATAGCATGGATTCTGTGTCAAGGAGTAAAGACAATGTGTTAAATGATAATCAAATTCACTACCGAAAATGTCTCCCTATCTCAAAAAGCTCTTTCAGTCACAGTTCAACACTGACCACATTAAACTAAAGACACTCACATAGATAGAATATGAAACCAATAACTACAAAGTCAGACTTCAAACCTAAACAATAACCAATCTATCGATGAAAAAAAGTTATGAATACTATAAACAAATCTAAGGAATAATTAAACATTACTTGACATTGATGCCGAGCCTTACAAAAATACTTTCCCTGGATTCAATACGTTTCGCATTTTCATGAAGAATGTCTGGTATTTATTATTCATCCCCCAAAAGTAGTTTTCATGACGAGTTAATGCACATTATGGAATTAACAAATAATCGTAAAGACACAGATATATAGAGACATAAATATTGGATCTATTATAATGACAGATTGTTATAAATAAGCTCTCGCCATTCTATGAGTATCAACTCGCACAATCCATTTGGTTTTCATTTTGGTAAGAAGTGTAATATCTCATCTCAAGGAGATTGATACTTTTTCCAATAGAGAAGTATATACTTGCTACATCGACCTCAGAGCAGCATCTGTCCACATCAGTAAAACGCACCTCTTCTCATCCATTAAAAACCTTGTGGCAAGCTTTGATCCCGGTAAATTCCTTGACGTAATACAGAAATTATATCGGTCATCAAACTGTTATATGTCTGATAAGGAACCCAAAACAGAAATATTTCAAACTTCATCAGAAGTAGGACAAGGTGGAAATAAGAGCCCTATTTTATTTAACCACTCTCGACTATGCCCTGTGTATATATAAGCGCAGAAGTGAACAGATGGGCGCTGATCATTAAGCATTTCATACGACATACCAAATGAATCTACTCATAGAAAAGAGAAATCATGATTTCCCTTTTCAATGTACGCCAATTTACTGACCTTGATGCTGGTTATGCTGATGACATAGTTATTCATATTTGGGATAAGAATCATCTTGAACGAAAAAAACAATATATTCTACCAAGTAGTCCAAGACATAGGAATGAAGATGAACCATTCCAAAACAGAAACAATGATTCATTCCAGAAAACGGTGATGACACCTATTCTGAATCCATCATGAAAATTCAAGATGTAGAATTAGTAAATATTAAAGACTTGGTGGTTCAAATAAGTTATAAATAATTTAGTGCCAGGAATAAGGAAATTAAACTTAGAAGAGGCTACACTAGGGGTGGTTTCTGCCGACGCCGACAACTGCTATAAGACAAAAACATTAACATAAAACCTGTACCTAAATAGTCTAGTCAGATCAAGTCTTTCATGTGAATGTCATGCATGGCGCCAACCTCGTTCATAAATATCTAAACTTGTCATCTCGATATTGTGTAAAGGTTATCAAACTTGTCTCCCTTGAAAAAATGAATAATGAGTTTGATCCTAATTGGGTTTTTCCATACGTTCGGCCTTGTTCCACATCAAATTACACTTAGAAAATCACCATAAATATCTAAACAGTCAACTGTATACAACTGATTTCTCAGATCAATGGTTAAATAAATCAGAGCGAATGAAACTGGGTAAGCTGACTCTTTAGATATTTCTGAACGAGGTGGGTACCATTCATGGCATCAACGTGAAAATCTTAATATTTATTACGCAGGAGGACTTTATGAAGATAAATGTAAGGATTTTATTTCACAGCGGAAGTAAAACAGTCGTTAAGCTTTCAAAATGGCTAACACTTTGAGCCCTGCGTTTCTGAAATATGTTAACCCTTCTGTCTGAGTTCCTGAGTCAAAATTCGCAAATAACTGACATGTAACATTTCACGGTAGTTATAAAAATAATTACAAAAATGCAAGCATTATACTTAGCATTGACAGAGTTTGATTGCATACCCTTCACTTTATCGACATAATTTTCTGTTTGTGTCCTAGTCTACACAGCAGGTGCTGCCTCTCTTCTTGCACAGGAGTCGTAAAACTCGACGAAAGTGTTTACCCACCGTTCAACAGGTGGCTGGGTCATTAGGTAGTTTTTCTCTACCACTGGTAAAGCGGCGGCCAGGGCTCAAAGAGTGAAATTTAACGCTCTAAAATATCCTAACGTAATATTTAACTTTCTAAAATATCCTAACGTAATATTTAACGCTCTAAAATATGTTTACGTAATATTTAACGCTCTAAAATATCCTTATGTAATATTTAACGCTCTAAATTATCCTTGCGTAATATTTAACGCTCTAAATTATCCTTATGTAATATTAAACGCTCTAAAATATCCTTACGTAATATTTAACGCTCTAAAATATCTTTACATAATATTTAACGCTCTAAAATATCATTACGTAATATTTAACGCTCTAAAATATCTGGAGTTATAGGAAGACACACAAACACATACACACACAAACATATATATATATATATATATATATATATATATATATATATATATATATATATATATATGTATATATATATGGGAGAGAGAGTTTTATTTAATTTTTCTTGTGTTCTTATAATTTTTTCTTTTCTGAACATAACAGATACTGACCGAATTGTCTGTATGTCTGGGCACTTTCGGCAATTTTTAAAACATTATGAAGGGTGATTTTGTTTTTATTTTTATTTTTAACTGAATATGTGGATTTTTCTTATGTAGGTATGTATCTAAAGTTATAGAAAGACACACACACACGAACACATACACACACACAAACATATATATATATATATATATATATATATATATATATATATATATAGAGAGAGAGAGAGAGAGAGAGAGAGAGAGAGAGACATTATCCATCCATTTATCTCGCTAAATAATGGTAGATGTTTAGTTAAACATTGTCCTTTTGCGAGAAGCGTCTGGAGGGCCTTAATCGACCAAACTTTGTCTGGCACTCTCTTCTGCACGTGTGACAGATGAATCTAGAATGCTGTATGGACGTCTAACGTTGCTTTTTCTATTTCCAGCGTTGCTTTTTATCTCTAATATTTCTCTCCTTTTTTTCGGCCTTCGTGACACATCATTGAATAGCATGCCGGCCTATGCTGAAATCATCTGCTAGCTGTTTCTATCTACCAGAATCGATACCTGTGCGTTTCACTCCCCTCTTGAAAACGTCCTTGAAACATAGTGCAGGGCAGACAACTGGACGGTATTCTGTCACCAGCTCATCGTACATGATGTCTCTTGATATACGACAGGTATTCATTCGATGTACGTGTCCTAGCCATTGAGGACGATAATTGCAAAGGGGAAGTTACTTGCTCCAGTAGTCTGTTCCTTCCAGCACAGCAGTGTTGGTAACCTTGCCTGACCATGCAATGCGTAAGATACGTCATAGGCAGCGGAGAATGAAGTTGGCCATGCGTTTGCCTGCCTGACGGATGTTGTCCAGTGTTTCGCTATCGAAAAGTTGATTACACATGTCGGGAATACCTTTAGTCTGGGACGCAACGCCAGATAACTGTTGTTCCATACTGTCTTGCTTAATTACATTTATCACTGCCGCTGTTTTGGCTATCTGTTTTGGCTATCTGTTTTGTTAATTTCCATATCAAGCGATAGGCTCTTGTTGACGGTAGAGCCCAAATATCTTACGTGATCTGTGACTTCAGGTACCACGTCATCTGTGCTGGTTGCTAGAGATTGCATAAACATCATGACACATGACATTTTTATGTTAATAGTCTTTACAGTCATGGTCGATCTGTCTAATCACTGTTTGGAGATCATGTTCGGTGTGTGTGGTCAGAGTTACGTCATCGGCAAAAAGCATATCGCTGATTAGTACTGTACGCACCTCGGTCTTTTCTTAACAGGCGGGCTGTTGAATAATTTACCGTTGTTTCTTGTGTCTAACTATTCACTTGCGGATTGTTTGAACGCAAAGCTCGATAATATAGAAAAGAAGCCAAAGTTGGTGTAAAAACGCATCCTTGTTTTCTGCCATTATGAATAGTGAAGTGCATTGTAGTTTCAACATCATAACTGACTACACTTTTTTCATGAAAGGAGGGGATGATGCTCAGAAACTGTCGGGGACAGCCAATTTTCATTAGAAACTAAAACAGACGTTTCCTGCTAACAAAGTCGAACGCCTTGAAAAGCTCATCTCTGAAGGCATGTATAATTGTTCACGACCTTTCTTCTGGAGTTGACTAGAAAGAAGAGCCTGCCATCTGAAGAAATTTTACTCCTGAATTTATATTGGGATTCTGAGTAGATGCGATCGGAAAGGACTTGAA